TTTATCCCTCTGCCCTTCAATTAACCCCACATGTGTTTATCGACCAGGTTGGCACAATAAACTAACTACCTCATCCTCTGTCCTATAGGGTTTCTACGAGTTGGAATCAATTAGATGAATGTGAGCTTGGTTTTTTTTGGAATTGTACAAAGAGAAGAAATGGTCAAAAAGGGCCGTAGGCTTTTGCTTGAGCAACTCCATAGATTCTAACGTCTAGTACATCAGAATCCTTAGGCAGGCATGAGGCGAGGGTTTCGAAGCATTACGTTTAGCTATGAGCATAGAAACCTGTTAAATTTGAGGTGCTTTGAATCGACTTGATGACAGTGAGTTTAATATAGGGTACTCAGGGGCCTTGGTGGCACAGTGGGTTCAGCTTTGGGCTGTTAACCAACAGGATCAGGATGTGCGCCAACCAGCCACCCCACTTCTATAAAGAGTTGCAGCTTTCGAAACCTTAGAGAGTCGTTCTACTCTGCCTTGGAATGCAGTGTTTTTCAAAGTGGGTGATAGTGTCCCACTGCAGGGCCCTGGGACCATTCCGAAGAAAACCCCAAATGCACTGCCATCAAGTCAGTTCTGACTCACCGTGGCGACCCTATAGCTCAGGGTAGAACTGCACGTGTGGGTTTCTGAGACGAACTTTTTACAGGAGTAGAAAGCGTCATCTTTCTCCTGCAGAGCAGCTGGTAGTTTTCAAACTGCTGATCTTGGAGTTAGCAGGACAATGTGTAACCACTATGCCCCAAAGCTCCTTAGAGGACCAATAATTTGATTGCAGAAGCTCAGACTCAGGAATTTAAAACCCAGGTATTGCTGGAGACACTATCTGACTTTAAGGCTAGTGAATTGGGAGTGGGAAAAAGACAGCTTTCTACTCTCAGAGTTACAGCCTCAGAAATTCACAGGGACAGTCCTCCCATGTCCTATAGGGTCACTATGAGTCAGCATTGGTCCAGTGGCAGTGAGTTGATTTGATTTTTCAATAATAAGAATCCATGAAACCAAAAAGCTGGGCCTCTGAAAAGATGGGCAAAATTGAGGAACCCTTAGCTAGAGTCTGGTGGTGAAATAGTGATAGAAAATAAAAGCAAACAAGAAAGTGAGACAGTTAAATGTTATATAAGAAAGACTGTAATAAAGTATATTTCAACTATACTACAGAATCCCAGTGGCCTGGGGATAAGCATTAAACTTGTAACTGTAAGGTCAGTGGTTCAAACCCACTAGGTGCTCCAAGGGAAAAAGATGAGGCTTTCTGCTCCCATAAAGATTTACAGACTTGGAAACCCTATAGAACAGCAGTTCTCAACCTGTGGGTCCCGACTTTGTGGGGCAAACAACCCTTTCACAGGGATCGCCCAATTCCTAACGGTAGCAAAATGACAGTTATGAAGTAGGAATGAAAATAATGTTATGGTTGGGGGGTCAGCACAACATGAGGAGCTGTATGAAAGGGTCGCGGCATGAGGAAGGCTGAGAACCACCGCTCTAGAGGGTTATTCTGAGTTGGAATTGACTCAATGGCAGTGGGTCAAATTATCTTGCCTTCAATACAGTGCTAACCCTGAAAATCAATATAACAAAAATTTTAATATAATTAAATTAGGAAGGTGGAGTAAAGGAAATTTTTGGCCAAAAGTAATGGTATGAGGGAATGAACCATTTATTTTCATCATAGAAAGTACATGTGCATTTTAGGACATTGAAAAATTAGAAAATACAGTACACATGTTTTATTTAGAAA